TGTACCACTTTTTTGACTGTTTCGAATATTTTAAAAAGAGTAAAAATGTAAATTTGGGAATATGAATAGTTTCAGACATAGACAAGTCTATAAAGAAAACCTCTCAGGTAAATCAGTCCCGTCGAACTAAATAAATCGTAGGTATCGTTTGTAAAAAGACAGAGTATCGTTTAGAGAAAAACGCGTTTAAAGTTTCAGTTCCGGCCGAACCAGTTTGAATGCCGGGTCAACAAAATACCTATATCTCTGAAAACAATTTGAATTTTGAAAAATGTTCTTGTAGACATACTCTTGAATAGTTAAGCTTTGAAAATATATAAAAAAAGTAGATTTTTTATTATTTCTAGACTAGAGTACCGCCTGTATATTTGATTATTTTATATCGATATTGAAAATGTGGCTAAGGTTGCATTTATATAAGTATGCTCTGAGGATACTGATAAATTCTTAAGGGCCTGTTGTTTCAAATAGAAATACTAGAAAAACAAAAAAAAAAACAAAAATTGTAGTTAATCTTAATTAAATGTTTAATTTTTCTCAAATCTCAAATAAATTTTCCACAAAAAGTGCAGCCCCGTGCCCCAGCAAACATGCGCTATACCCTTATGGCTCTCTTTATAATACGCATATTTATAAGATTGTTTTTCGGTGATTATAGTCAAGCAAATCTCAAAAACTGCACCCAAGATACCATTTAGAAAATGAATATCACTACAACAACTTCATAGCGAGATTAGGCCACAAAATCGCTGGGACGACCTCCAGCCTTCTGGCTTTCCAACTCGCCTGTCATGTCATGTCAAACGAACATGTCATTTGCTTAGCTACTGTCTTGTGTCTAATCCCATTGCTGTGGCGGCTGCACCCACACCGAAAGTGCGGCGCCACCATTGCTACCCCAACCGCTGAGACCTGGCGCCAATCACACGACCAACAAGAGATTATCAGCCCAGCAACAGCAAAAACAAAGATTTATGTGTATATGTGTGTGTAAATACAGCAACATCCACGTTAAGAACAACAAAGTGCTAAAATAATGCAAGAAAAACGCTTAGCAGAGAAGCGCTTGGCACTTGCACTTGACGGCAGCTAGTCTAGAGTGTCGTGCAAGAATTTAACGACAATGATTTTTGATGACTTTCCTTTGCTGGCTGCCACTTGTGATATTGGCTTATTGCTTATTTTATATTTACATACATGCTTACACACTTACATATGTACACACATTATTCTATTTTGTTAAACGTCGCTGGTCAGCAGTTTATTCATGTGTGTGTGTGTGTGTGTGTGGTATATGTAATCATATGCGTCTACAGTAGTATTTTCTTTTATTTTAATATCTGACTTCCGCTTGATTAAGCACTCTTACTCACTTACTACACGCATAAATACATATTAATGGCATTACGCATTCACTCAACCGCTTGACAACTTATACACATCAATATGAGTGCTATTTATAAATTAACATATGTATATGTAGGTAAGCCTCCACATGTATGTAAGCCTCCACATACAAATACAGATATATCAGAAGGAAGTCAGTGTTTCCCAATCATTTGCTTCATATTAATTTCATACCAGAACTTTTGGTGTGCTCATAGAAATTTTACAAATTCGAACTATTTGAACCATAATCCCGGATCGCCATAAAATTTGTTTAGGAAAGTCAATAAAAGCTTCAGCAGAAGCAAATGCTTTCCTAATATCAATTAAATTGGTCATGAGATCTTTGTAGATCCAATCATCACTTCACCAATGGATATAAGAATGGCTACGCTAACGGCCATGCCTTCAAAGAAGGCGATGGTGTGCTATCCACTAACGATGCTATGCTTTTATAGATCTTTGTAGATTTGTCGAATCATAGGCTTCAGTAACCTTAAAAATATTAAAATAAGGAAAAACTTTTAACTTCGGTTGCAAGTTAAAATAAAAAAGTTTTCACTCATGAACTTTATTTGTATCAGTTAGTTTGTATGACAGCTACATATGTATATGCTGTAGTGGTCCGATCTAAACAATTTGTTCAGAGAATAAGCTAAGTCAAATTTCGTGAAGATATATTGTGAAGTAAAATGATTTTCCATACAAGGACTTGTTCGGTCAGTTTGTATGGCAGCTATATGCTATAGTGGTTCGATATCGGCGGTTCCGACAAATGAACATCATTTTGGGGAAAAAGGACGAGTACTAAATTTCAGTGCGATATTTCAAAAACTGAGCGACTAGTATATATAGACAGACGGAGATGGCTAAACCGACTCAGTTCGTCAGGCTGATCATTTATATATATGTATATATATACATATATATTTTATGGGGTATCCGACGTTTCCTTCTGGATGTTACAAACTATGTGTACAAACCTTGTTGAGTGCATAATAATAGTGACTAAAACATCAATTTCTCTCCTTAGCTAAATCTATATTCTTCTGTATTCTATTATCTATTACTATCTTCTATTCTTGTTCCACGAATTGATGGTCATGAAAATGAGGAAGATTCTTTAACACGAGCGTATAGAAAGAAAACTCACACAGCAGTCTTTTGAGCGAGAGTGCTTAATGGTAATGCAGGACTAAAATATATCTCGAAAATGTGTCTCGAAATTTGGTATCTTAAAATATACACGAATATTTGTTCGTTTGTTTTACACTCCTTGACAATGTTACCCTCAACCGTACAAAAAACTACTTTGCTGCATCTTAATTAGGCACGAAGTCTGATTTTGAGCAATAAGAACATATTTAACTACATTGGAGAGTGTAGAGTTTTTCAAAATATTAATTACCAGCCATGTATTTTAGGAAAACCTAACCGTTCGGTCTGTTGTGATTCGAAAATTTGGACACTGAAATATAAGCGATATATGTACATTCGTTTGATCCTAAATACTTGTATATTCAATAAAAAAAGGTGAGATGTAAGATGGACCAAATACCATACTGTTTACGGATAATATATACCGGACTATCAATCGCAAATGGCAATTAGAAAGCTGTACGGCTCTTTTGAGTTATGAACAGACAGACAGTATAATATCAGACCAAACTAACACATACAAACTATATAACTCTGAAACCTTATGAGTAGAAAGGGATGAACGTACACAAGAGTTTCGGTGAAATTTGTCAAATATCTGGTAGAGCTCTCAGATAATTTACCAGTTATTTAACCGAGAGTTGGCTGATGGTTGGCAGTTGGGTTCCTTCAAAATATTCCAAAATGGTAAAGAATATAGAATATATTTTCATTGAACAATGTAATACTATTCGCAATAATCAAAGAGTAGTTAACTTAAAATTTTGCAATAATAAATTGTCTATGCCTCCCACATTGAGCTTAAATAAATTTTGAATTTTTGTAGTATTTATTTAATTTTACTTAAATTTGTATAGCTTTATAAATGTTTATCACCATATTTGTTATGTCGATGAATGTGCAATTATTTATTTGCCATACATATTTATTTTTTTTTGCGTGTGAATGTTGCCTTTCCATTATTTGCGAATTCTGTGGAACGAAGTGTTGATGGGAATTTTTTCACAGGCCACGTCATGGCAATCGATAATAAATATCAGCATAAATATATGCTATATACATAAAAAGTAATAATATACATCAAACCTATATGTATTATTGTATTGTATTGTACATATTTATTGAATTTGTTGTTCACAATCTTTACTAAAAATGAAACAAAGAAGAAAAAAATCCCAACCGTTTAATTCGCAATTTAATCTCTTCCGTAAGAATTTTAAAACTGTGCGATAAAACTACAACTGCCTTAGTCAGCATGCAGAAATTTTTGTTTCTGCAAATATATATTTTATAAATTTATTAAAACGCCTAATAATAGATAATAGAAAATAAACTTCTGAATAAAAAAAAAATTATGTCACTATTCTTACATTTCCTTGGTCTTATTGTTCTGAGAACATATTGTTCAGATTAGACCACTATAGCATATAGCTGCAAACTACAAACTAACTGATCAAAATCAAGATAAATATAAATCAAGATCATGTATACCCTTTTATGCTATAAAAAATGCCACTGTGAAGGGTAGTATAGCTTCGGTTCAGCCGAAGTTAACGTATTTTCTTATTTTTATTAAGAGATGTGCTGAGAAGTTGATATCGCTTAAATGAAAAATAAATTTTTAGTAAATGTAATTCGATTTTATTATCATTATTGAATCCTTCAACTTTTTGATACCATTCTTCATTCTTTCTGCTTGTATTTGTTTGAAAATAGGCTTCGGTCTCAACAATTACCTATTCATTGGCGCAAAATTTCATTGGAGCGAGAACGTTGTGTCTTTTGGAGATTAAGTCCTTCATTTCTATAGATTTTGTGAATTTCATTATGTTCATTAATTTTAAAAAAAAATCAAATAAAAATCTTTACATAAAGAGTTGCACAAATGCAGACAATGCAACTATTTATATACCTTTAAATGCAGTTGAAATTTTTGTCCAAAAACATTTATGACCAACCAAGTGCTTGTCACAATTGTCATGACACGAAACTATCACAAAATTCAAAACATTCAATCTTAAAAGGTTTTTCCGAGTCATAAATTTGATTTCAAAGCACTATCCTCTGCCGTTAAGTGTTTTAGAATTTTCATTTTAAATTTTATACTTGTTTTTTAGCGCTCGTAAATGTCAATCAAATTGACATTTTTGACCACAGTCAAGCTAGCATAGATATGTGTATACATTTTTTAATGTAATTTTGAATTGATATGCGCACTTAAAGTTATGTAAATGTCTTTCGTCTGTGCTCGTCTGTGTGAATGTATGTACATCTTATGCTCGTGTAAAACTGTAAATAATTACAGTCTTTACATTGCATATCATCAGCTTTTTATTGCTTACCAATCGCGGTGTCGCATTTTATGATTATTTCCAATTCTTTGTGATTACAATTCTAAATCTCTAATAATCACATTTTAAACTCAAATCATTTTTATTTTTACTTACTCATTACAGAGTCATTGTGTGTCGCCAACGTTCGAGAAAGAGTTGCGAGAGCAATTGGATAAGTAAGTTTTTATTGCTTAATAAATATAAATAGAAATGTTGTATAATTTGATAGCATAAGTATCGTTTTTGTATACTATATGAACATACAATAAATATTTGAAAAGTGCAAGGTTCAAAAGAATTAAATTTTAATTATCTTATTTCTTTATTACTTACATATATTCTAGAAATAAAAAAATATGCTTGAGACAATCATAAGAACAACTTAGATTGTAATGGTAGGCATATATGTATGTACTTAGTCTTGCCATAAATTCTGTTACAAAGTTTACAATTTAAAAGAAAAACTGTTCGCAAAGGTATTCGCAGAAATTACCATAAAAAACAGAAAATTATGTCAAGAGAAATGGATATATTGACTAGATCAATATCAAGATTTATTCGAGATGATCTTCACCTGAAAGCCTATCGTCGGTCAAATGGGCATCTTCTAACAACGCGCTTAAAGCAAATAAAGCTCATCAGATGTAGACGGCTTCTTCAGTGACAATATACATTTTACAGATGAAAATTTTTTTTACCGTATGAGAAAGTTTTTAATAAACAAAACGACAAAATCTATGCAAAAACTTCCAAAGGTGCAAAAAATGTTATAACAAGGGTTAAATGTGGTACAAAAGTGTACCAGCTTTAACGCATTTTTTCATAGAAGTGAAGAGGTGTAACGCCATTACAGCAGCTGGATGGCGTGGTAAAGCAGTTAAGCACTACTCTCTTTGAAGAGGAGCATTGGATCTTCTAGGAAAGATTTTGCTCCAGTTCACAAGGCAAAAGCAAAACCAATCCAGCAGTGGCTTAGCTGTAGATGATTAGCCGTCTGAAAGTCCAGATTTGAATCCATTGGTCTACAGTTTGTGGTCACAATTGGAGAACATGCGCTGTCGAATACCCCACAAGAATTTCGAGAGTCTCAAAAATCTTTGGTTCGAGCGACGTTGTCAATACCACTAGAAACTGTGCGTGCTACAATTGATAAATGGCAGAATCCTTTGAGGGCTTGTGGGAAACCAAAATGTTATCAAAAAGAGTTTTATAGTTTCATTTTTACAATGGCCTGAACTTGTAACATAACTTATGGCATTACTAAGTAGTTATATAAATAGTTTTTTTAAACGATGTACATTTCGCTGCAAGGCTGCAAAGTTTGCCACGAAGTTTGTATATGGATCATTCCATCGAAAATTTACATTCAAACATTTTTTTCGTGCGAAACATATTTTTTTGTTTTCTTTGAGGCAAAATATTGGACAAGTATTTTTTCATTTCGACTCAATATGAAAAATTTTAAAGTTATGAATTTTCAAAATTTGAACTTTTAAAAAAAGTACCTTTCAACATTTGCGCATACGAAGAAAGGTATTTCATTATAAAAACAACTAGCCGACCTATTTTTTACGATTTTTTCTCAGCTTTCCAATGCGATATATGATTAATTTTTCGAGTATTCATAAGGTACATTTTTATACACAAATAATTTTTTTTTTTTTATTTGGAACTATTTCTATCCAGTTTTTTTTTAATGGAAAATGTACATTAGGTACATCGATCAGAATTTTTGTTGCTTATAGCTCTGTACCATATAATATGATCGGGAAAGCTCGTAGCTAGTATTTTAAAGCAATGTTCAACACTGGGAATTTTTTAATGTTGATACTGGTATTAACGTTTAACTTATTATTATTACAAATTTGCATATATTATTTCAAGAAAAGAAATCAAGTGCCTCTAATGGGATATACTTATAGAATTAAGTAGAAAATTGGGAAAACACTGAAATTTAATTTTTATAATATCACCCTCTGTAAGCAGAACTATTGCGGTTCTTAGCATCATTAACAGCTATGGTTCATGTGCTGCAGTTATCATTAAGATGACGTAAGAATTTTTTTTATAGTTCGAACTAGTAGTAGTAGTCAAGAATTTTACAGTTTTCTAGAGCAAATAAAAAATGAAATTTAGCGAAATATTTAGAAGCATAAAACTATGTTATTATTCGAGACTAAGCATTCATCACATTCAGCTTTAGCGAGCTATAGTATGTCCGATCTATAAATAGACTCGCATATAGCTTTTTTACCTTCCAATAAATGTAGAATGTGAATAACTGAACCAGAATTTCCCTTCATTCTCCCATTTCTAATCAAGAAAATCGTCTTCATAGTTCGAATTGTCTTGCTGGCAGTTATTTAACGGTATTACCAACAAATCTCAATTATAGCTCCAATGGATTTTCAATGCAATTACGCTTAATTTTATTGGAATCTCAGCATATTTACTGCGAAAAACTGCAAAAGCTATAAAACTTCAAAACTCCAAGCTTCAAACTCACCAAGCATATGCAGGTATTACCAATTCAAACTTTTCGCCAACGAATTATAATCAAAAATTTCACCAAATCGTACATAATATATATATTAATGATACTTGTGTATGTGAATTGTTTATGTGTCGAATACAATTTTCGCAATTACCAAATTACCCAGCTGACCTATGCCTCATCCGCTCGCATCGAATATTCTACGAAATACTGTTGGTGCCACGAAATAAAAAGTTCGTAGTGGCTTCCGCCCTCAGGACTGCATTTGACCTGCTATTTAAGTAAATTCAACACTTAACAACAGCGCAAAGTACCCTTAAGGGTTGTCCAAAAATGGGTATAACCTACAACATCTACACACATATGGTACACACATACTCGATCCCGAAACTTATAACTACAACGTAATTACATGAGAAAATTCATCATATAAGTGCTTATGGTGCGGTTATTTACGGTGCTTTTCCTCATGTAAGTAATCGGAGTATAAATGTATGTGCATACGCGCGTATATGAACATCTAAGTGTGTGTATGTGCCCATATGAGCACCCACATTTGGAACCGCAAAATTCGGAAATTGCACTGCTAGTTACCCTGTAAAAAGCAGCAATGTGCCTATTTGTGCAAATATGTATTTATAAATACATACAAGTACAAACACACATACAAACATGCAGGCATTTCCATGTGATTTTACTGCTCTATCTAACCTCTTTAGGGCAATTTTAAATTGTTAAGCCGCCCAAATAGTGGCACAGTAGCATTTATTACAGTTGGATTTAGTCACGCATATACACATGCACACGTATATACATATGAAGATTTATATTTGCTAAAGTGTAAACTTATGCCTACAAACTAAATTATCAGCTCCATCTCTTGGGTTCTATGCAGTTTACTACTGTTTTGTGTGCTTTATTACCAACGGCGTATGCCAAGTAAATACTTTTGTACATATGTACATACATGTTTGTGCAAGTAAGTGTGGCATACACTATTGCCTTAGGCTTAGAAACATATAATTTCGTCAATTTAATGGGCGTTTTGTTGCGTAAAACTTTCAACCACATTTGCTGTGCTTATCTGTGAGAACTTAAATAAAGTTCAAAATTGAAATTCTGGAGTAAATTGAGCAAAATTTGTCAAATTTCTTTTTTTTTCGATAAAAAATTTATATATAATAATTTGAGCGTTTCTGAAAAACAGCATGCCAATGAGCGTTGCAAATAATGCATTAAAATTAAAGAAATAAATAATCTTGAAAATCTTACCTAAAAACAAGAAAACACGTTAACTTCGGTTGCACCGAAGCTACTTATAATACTCTTTACAAATACAAAGGCTCTTTACAAGAGCTCAATTCTGATCGTTCAATTTGTATGCCTTAAATAATAAATCGGGTGAGACCTTTTTGTAGAGCATTCACTTTCTTACAAAATTAATGAAATGAGATACTATTTTTTCAAGTAGCTGGAAGCGAGATTTGAAATTTTTGATATAATATTTAGAAAATAATAAAAAATTTAAAACTACTGTACTGCTACAATTAAGAGCTAAACTTGGGTAGACTTTCTTGGAGAAGACTAAAACTTATTTTTCAGAGTACTAAGCGAAAAAAATATTCGATTTTTTTACCCATCCTAATGTATATATATTGTACAACGGTACGGTATAATAACGGTTGCACATATGAGAGTTACCCTTTATATTTCGGTATTTGAGAACAAAAACCAATACAAATTATCGAAAATCGCTTTATTGTTTTTCAAAATATCCTCCATTAAGAGCTATACAATTTTGCATGCGTTTGAACCAATTTTCGAAGCACTTTTGCCACTCTGGTTGAGGTATCTCCAAAACATGCGTTCTGAACACATCAACTGGTCCTTCAGGTGTCGAATAAAGGCTGACCTCTTTTGAGTGCTCAAAAATGCAGTTGTTTCAGTCGATGTGTGAGAACTCCTATTGTCGTGGTAGAGAGTGATCCGTCTTTAGCGGTTGCTTTTCCTCATTTCTTGAAAGAAAGCTGGCAAACAAATGTACCATTCAGAATTTACTGATCTGCGTTGTTCTAGTGGTATGGTTACGACATGGCCAGATTTAACAAAAAAACAACAGGCCACCATTTGCTTGGAAGAGCTTCGTGCGCGAACAACTTTTGTTCGATTCGGCACATCTTAAAACACCCATCCCACCCATTAGTCGATTGCTCTTTACTTTTGAACTCATACTCATCACCTCTCACGATGTCATAGACGTTTTTCAAAGCACCGCTATCGTATTTTATCTCACCATTTCTCTCGATCAATCGACACGAGGCTTTTTTCGAGCGACTGACAAATTGTGTGGGATCCAACGGGATCCAATTTTTTTACAGTCAAATATTCATTCAATATTAAATGTATGCTGGTCCCGCTAATGCCTATAGTTGTCTCAATTTCACGGTAGGTCAAATGACGATCTTACAATATCAGTTTGCGCACAGCATCAATAGTTTCCAGAACTACAAATAATTTTGGACGACCTTAACGAAATTCTTCGATGGAGCTTTATAGCCAAAAATTTAATTAAGTTCATCGGAGCATTGTTGTTCAGTAAATACTCGTCGAAAGTTTTAAAAAATAAACGCGCGAAAATATTTGCGATTTAATTCTATTTTTTAACCGAGATGAATATTTGAAGTGACTGTAAATGCCACAAGTAGTGCCCGTATGGCAAAACGTTCTGAGTAAATATGTATATCTAACATCAAAAATATCAAACTTTACGATAAAGCGTAGCCAAATTGCAACACTAGGGTAGCCAAATTCCAAAATATAAAAGGCAACCTACGTAACGGTTGCAAATATGTGTGAAACACACGTATATTCAGAGCTCGCTCCGAGAGTACCCGCGGGCAATGGGCTGCCGCGCACTACTGTATACTATAATTTATCTAAGAATTTGTAATGACACTCGGTTTAGTTTAAGACGATACACAATACAATAACATCACTTTGGAATTGACGCGCGCTTATCGCGAATTCTATAACCTTATAACTAAATTTATTAAAATTACAACACACACATACATACATACATACATGTACAAAGATGGATTTTGCCGGCTGTTGATCAAAACACGTGCCAATCAACAAACAACTGAAATGTCAACCAAACGAACCAACGGGGTAACCCAGCGAACAAACGTGTTAGAAAGCGTGTTGGAGAGAAAGCGTGTCCGTTCGAAAATCTTTGAGTTCCAAAATGCCTACCAAACTACAAAACTACCAAAACATGTCAAATTTGGTGAAGATATCACATCTTATGAAGAAGCTTTCCATACAAGAACTTTATTCCGATCATTCAATTTGTATGGCAGCTAAATGCTATAGTTGTCCGATATCGGCCGTTCCGACAAATGAGCAGCTACTTGGTGAGAAAAGGAGGGACTAGTTCGCGTATATACAGACAAACGGGCATAACTAAATCGACTCAGCTCGTCATGCTGATCATTTATATATATATATATATTTTAAGGGTCTCCGACATATCCCTATGGGCGTTACAAACTTCGTGAAAAACTTAATATACACTGTTCAGGGTATACAATGTTTTTATACTCTCGCAACCTGTTGCTACAGAGTATAATAGTTTTGTTCACCTAACGGTTGTTTGTATCACCTAAAACTAATCGAGTTAGATATAGGGTTATATATATATAAATGATCAGGATGAAGAGACGAGTTGAAATCCGGGTGACTGTCTGTCCGTCCGTCCGTCTGTCCGTCCGTCTGTCCGTCCGTCTGTCCGTCCGTCCGTGCAAGCTCTAACTTGAGTAAAAATTGAGATATCTTTATGAAACTTGGTAGACATGTTTCATGGTACCGTGAGACGGTTGGTATTGCAGATGGGCGTAATCGGACCACTGCCACGCCCACAAAACGCCATTAATCAAAAACAAATAACTTGCCATAACTAAGCTCCGCAATAAGATACAAGACTGTTATTTGGTACACAGGATCACATTAGGGAGAAGCATCTGCAGTTAAAATTTTTTTTAAAAAAGTGGGCGTGGTCCCGCCTCTAATAGGTTTAATGTGCATATCTCCTAAACCGCTAATGCTATAATAACAAAATTCACTGGAAGCAAATATTTTTAGCACTTCTATTGACGGTGTGAAAATAGTTGAAATCGGGTGGCAACTCCGCCCACTCCCGATATAACGGTACTGTTAAAAACTACTAAAAGCGCGATAAATCAAGCACTAAACACGCCAGAGTCATTAAATTTTATCTCTGGGATGGTATGAGATGACTTTATAGGAACCGCGTTCAAAATTAGACAGTGGGCGTGGCACAGCCCACTTTTAGGTGAAAACCCATATCTTGAGATCTGCTTAACCGATTTCAACCAAATTCGGTGCATAACGTTCTTTTCATGTTTCTATGTCACAGTGCAAAAATGGGCGAAATCGGACTACAACCACGCCTACTTTCCATATAACACCATTTTAAATTCCATCTGATTATTTCACTTTCCACTATGCAAATCAGGCAACAATGACTGTATCGGGATAAAACTTTGCGTGAATAATGCGATTAAAGTATGCCACCTTGTGGCCAAAAATTGTCTAAATCGAACCAAAACTGTTTAAGCCCCTAAGTACTAAATATGTGGACCCCAGTGCCTATAGTTGACCTTCTACCGAAAATATCAGCCAATCCACAAAGAAATCTCAAACGAGTATACTATTTGACTTTGCGAGAGTATAAAATGTTCGGTTACCTCCGAACTTAGCCCTTCCTTACTTGTTATTATTCAAGTTTCTCGAATGCCGGCTACATTTTCTTTATTGGAAGAACACAACTATCCGCCCACTTGGAAAAGCATATGTATATATATATATATATACATATATACATAATGTATCAATTTATACTCGCTCTATAATTTTTCATATGATATAAAAGTAGTGAAACCTTTAAATAGCACACTTTTTACGACAGATTCTCAGTTGTGTATAATTCTTCAGAGTGTAGGCACCTTAATTTAAGCAAAGGTAAAGAAAGCAAATCTATAAATTATATATGCACATAATAGTATATCTAAATATTTTTGCAAAATTTTAGTCGTCATGGATTTCTATTACCTCCTCGAATCTGCGCCCTGCCGCTCTATTCTAATGCTTGCCAAAGCATTGGGTCTTGAATTGAATCGCAAGTTGTTAAGCTTGAAGAATAATGAACACTTGACACCCGAATTCCTGCAGTTAAATCCGCAACATACCATTCCCACGTTGGTGGACAATGGCTACTCGGTTTGGGAATCACGCGTCATACTCATCTACTTGGCCGAAAAATATGGCAAAGACGATTCGCTGTACCCAAAATGCCCCAAAAAGAGAGCTGTTGTCAATCAGCGTCTATTCTTCGATCTCAGCTTGTATGCGTTCTTTGCCGATTACTATTATCCCATCGCTAGAGATAAACAGACGCCAGTACTAGAGCGTTTGACCAAACTTGAGGGTCAATTCGAGTTTTTGAACACATTCTTGGACGGGCAAACGTACGTCGCTAACGGTAGTTTGTCGATTGCCGATTTCACTTTGTATGCCACTGTCTCGACGATTGTGACATGCGTTGCAAGTATTGATTTGAACAAATACCCAGACATTGCCAGATGGTTTGAACACCTCAGCAAAACACTACCCGGCGCAGATGAAAATCAGAAAGGTTGTGATTTAATTAAGGCATATTGGTAATTGTTCTTTCAGCGATTCACTCATAAACTGTGGAACTCGTGAGAAATATGGAATGCTTTAAGTTCAATAATAAAAATAAGTGCATATACATAAGTACATGTTACAGTAATTATTATAATCACTATCATTCTGTAGCTTATTAGTTCATTTTATATAAAGAATATATTGCTATCCTTTTAAGTACAGCAGAATAATATTGTAGTGCGTTGCTAATTTAATTTATATTATATTATCATATTTCTATCATATTATTGGAAAACGAAAAGGATGGGTGTAGATATTCCTACCTCAATCTTTGTTTCAGTGTCATAGTAATTTCTAGAGGTTTGTGAACTTGTACGTAGGTTGTCTTTTATATTTAAATTTTTGGCGATGAAGCACAATCAAGGACCAGTGTTTATCGACGAATATCGTTAAGGTCGTCCAAAATCATTTGTAGTTTAGGAAACTATTGATGCCGTGCGCAAACTGATATTGCAATATGCATTGCATGAGACCTATCGTGAGATTGAAACAACTATAGACATTAGTGGGACCAGCATACATTCAATATTGCAGGAATATTTGACTATAAAAAAAAATTTGTTCACGATCCCACAGAATTGGTAAATCACTCCAAAAAACAAGCTCGTGTCGATTGGTCACGAGAAATATGAAAAAAATACAATAGCGGTGTTTTAAAACATTGTATGACATCATGAGAGGTGATGAATAGTGGACTGTATAGGTGTTTTCAAGTGAGCCGAATCCAACAAATATTGTTCGAGGACGAAACACTTCCTAGCAACCTCGTAACAAGCAGAAACGATTCGCCTTGTACAAGTCAACTGAAACAGCTGAGAGTAATAAACGTCTGCGTTATTTGGTCTAAAATCGATAACTTCGTTGTAAATCGAAGTGGAGAGGGAGAACTTTAAATCCAAGTTAGTAGGTGTGAGCGTGGTTATTTTTGTCAGATTATTATTATTTTGTTGCACTTTTTTAGAAACTAAAGCATAAGCTTGGTTTCAAATCATATAATATATCATAAAAATCTCATTTTGCTATTATTCCGCTCAACACTATAATATTATGAACGTATTTAGGCATACATATATGTATATATCAATGTATATTTTCATGTAATTGTGATTTCAATCTCGGAATTCCACTATTTATTGAGTCCCGAAAATATATAAAGTAGGTCATGTCACTGGGGTTCCTTTGCTCGGTAGCTGGCTGCTTGAAAAGGTATAGCCATACTTCGATAAATTTTAGATGAAGTTGAGATATATTTGAGGCATTATTTGAGGGGTATTTCGTTGTATTCTGTAGGCGTGGTTATAGTCACATTTTGTCACACTTGACCACTCATGAGTTCTGGATTGACCAGTCAAATGTGTTCATGCAAGGTCAAGGTCAAGCGAGGTTAATCGAAAAGTCAAGCGGCATTAGAGGTAAAGAGAGGAAAAAATTATATTATACTAAGCATAACTACTTTGAATTCTTATGCGCCTCTTTCTATTTAATTTCTTTATGTTTAATTTTACGAATCTATTATATCTAGGTGCGAAATACTTACAAAACGCTTTCCAAAAATGTGAACATAGAGTTCTTATCTGCGTTTTCTTGTAGACTGACTCCTGCAACCTTCCGTTAATAACAAGCCTGTTTCAGTATCCTATCAAGCATAACGGCAACTATAATCCACTAGCCTTCCGCAAACGGGTGTAAAGTTTTTTGTGCTTCAACTGACTCTACAGTTTCGACACAAGAGCGGATTCTTTTTTTAACATTCTCCCTCTCGAATAATATTGTGAGCATCCTTATGTGTACTATGTATGTATATGCAAACACCAAATTTGTTTTGAAATACGTAAACTAACTCCTTAAATAGTCTCAATCATTATATTTAAGAGAATGGTTTTCAGGAATACTGTTATCATAGACTGTTTCATCCTTTTGTAATCGAAAATTTATTTTCAAGTAGATTTAAACTGACTTTTCGCCATGCTTCCGAATTTAACAAATGTCCGTCGAGTTTGAGTTACAAATACTTTAAATGCTACACTCCTGAGTTCGACATTTACTTGTTATGCACTAATAGACTGATATGGACCAGAAAATATGATGACTTTCGCCTGCGGTTTTCTTCATATTAAAGTAATGAAAAAGAACTACCCGCAAAAACACTTTTCAGGTTCAGAGTTAATTATTGTTGTTTTTGTTTAAATGAATGAGATATACTGAAAATGGCGGAAGAAGAGAGTATCTTTCCAACGCTTGTTCGAAGTATTGAAACAAAGGAATAATAATCGAGTTACGCCATCTCTTGGCAAACCGCGCGAATATAGGTATAGTTTATACTAGACGACAAAAAATTTAGTTTTACACATAAAGTATTTGAATAATTTTTTACTTTTCTTATTAATAAAAACATCTTCTTATTTTTTTACAGCATGAATCGTGTGATAAAATCGAAAGAACGGAAGCAAAAACAAACATGTCCAGGACACAAAACACTGCAGGTAAATCAAAAGCAATAAATTCCAAATTCTTAATACCTAAAACTTCATACAGGTTGGTTGAAAAGTTTGTGCGATCGAAATGAAAAAATACTGTCTTACCCAGATAATATAGTCAAATTCTTGCTCATTACATTAAATTATATGCGTTTTATTTCTTCTTGCAAACTACATTTCCAAAAAACACACCCTTTATATGTATATACAATTATGCTCAATTTACTTTAAATTATTTGAATGTGTCACATCTTACAGTACGAAAGAATACAACAATGCGAGTTCAATGTTCTTTGCCTATATTTCGAAAGAGGTAAAATCATTCGGTAATTAGTTTGCATCCACTAATTTAAACATTAAATTTTACGCATTATTTGGCCCACGTATCAAAACGCCATACGTATTAGACCATTTAATGCATATAGTATGGATGACACATTGGAATACGAGGTGTAGACAGTATAAAAATACTTATGATTTATGCTTTTCTCTGACGGAATTCCTTCCCCTGGTGAATTAGGTGTAAATTGAACTTTAATGTTTACAAAGAACCACCCTAGTAATAACCTAGTAATGCACTTTACGAAATTAATTAGACGATGTAGACCTACTATCATTTCAACACATCACAAATAGTTGGCGGCGCCAAATGAGTACCTACTTCAATTAACACATTACCGACTTGTTGGTTGAAGATATTGACAACTATAAGTCACACTTGTGCAACAACAAAAAACGTAGTTCGTTTTATTCTGCATAAACCTGTGCATTAGCGACTCGTAACTTGAATTAATAAAAAGCCAATGACATTTGTTTGCTGTTTAAATAGGTGCTTAAAATAGAACAGATTCAAGAAGATAAAAAAGTGTTAGCCATGTGAGGTAAATCTAATGTTAGCTGATTCGAAATCTCGAGGCCTCATTGAGGTGGTATAATCGCTTACTATTCTATTTAGATATGATTACATCGATCTATTTGATTTATACCAGTTGTTTGTTCGTTTTCCCAAAATTTAACGAGTCAAAAGCAGCTTTCTTCAAATACCTTATATTCCGAACATCTCGTCGGTCCTAAGATGCTGAATATAGACAGCCTTCTAGTATTCAAAGAAAAGTTGTTTATAAGCTCTTTCGTTAGGAAAATCCTCAACTTATCGCGACTAATGTATAGGAGGCTGACCAACCTATGGATTACCCGAAGAGGTATTCAAATACTTTGTTGGAGAACTTATAAATACAGTTCCTCGATTGAAATTTATAATAAATGACTCTACTTAGTCTTCAAGAAGACAGATTATATAATATGAACCAAGCATCGTTGAGTAAGCCTTATAAATACCACTTTAAAATCTTAAAAACAGCATCGACTGCCGAAAAATGAATGAAGCTCTTACCAAATACCAATAGATCCCTTAGGAGTACAACTTCAAGGCGTTATACATATACATACTAAACTAGATTCAGACAATTTATATTCTTCATATCAGCACAGTCTCAACAATCTTCGCCAAAATTCTGTCTTCTTAAGGTGCAACCAAGTAGTAAGGGGCAAATGTGACTGCTTCTCATGCATTCTTCAAATAATTTTGGAGGATGCTGCCAAGTTTAAAGTTCTATGAAAGCTTCCCGATCATGGTGATCCGAATGACATATGTACGAACGGTGACAGTCAACATACTTCACTGTTGCGAATGCTTTAAATCCAATATCGAATGAATCTTAGTTTAGAAGTAATGATGGACCACAATGAAGGCATGTAGCTGACCTTACTAAGCTTCTAAAAAACGGTTCTTAAAGGATTTGAGGAATCTTAGAGCACAATACCGATAATTATAATATGACAGCATTTACATAGTCTGGCAATATAAATGCTCATCCTCATCCTCTCCTCTTATTTTTTTCCAGACCCGGATTACCCACCAAGAGACACTATTACGTTCCATGCAACAAGAGAATTACACGCTCAAACGCAGCATACGTCATTACGAACGTTGTCTGGACGATGTAATGCGCAAGGTAGTGGATGCCATTGTTGCAGAGGATATTCTACGCGAAGAGGTCACCATGCTTAAGAATCGAGTACGCGATTTGGAAGCACAAAATGCAGCGCTCTCAGCAAGTCCGGCGAAGGGACGTGATGAAGGATATTGTACGATGAGCAGTGGACAACCGCAGCCGTCAAATGGACATCTGGAAGATTTGCCAGAAGAGCCCGAACAGTGGCTACTGCCAGCAGAACCCTGCTCGACTGAAATGGAAGACTGGAGCATGTCGCAAGAGGAGTTGCCTGTAGTGACGCTGGACGACGGACAGCAACTTATGCGCGGCGGACGTTTGTTAACCAATTTGAGGAGACAAAATAGCGAAAACGAGTGGATGTGGAATTCAAATGATTTCCTCACATCGACTACAGCGGAAACGGACTCGGAGTCCGAGGCGATATCACAATTGCTGCAACAAAAGGTGAGTTGGATACATGAGGTGGTATATGTAGCTCATAAAATAATATGCACTCTTTTTTGGGACAGATTGTTTACTCCGAAGATGAAGACATTGCGCGCACCGAGTTCACCAACGAATTTTACAAACTTGTCGACATACGTTCGGCTTCGGCGCGCAGTCTCTTCTCCTACATCGAGGGTGAAACAGACGATGAGGACGACGACGACGAAGAGGACGAAACATCTAGTTTGTCGAAGCGACGTGTACGGCTGCGCAGTAAAATCGCATTAAATGCCAACCGACTGAAAACAACCAGTCCGACGCCAAGCGAAGCGGGACGCGCGCAAGTGACCAGCTGTTCGTCCAGCGAGTCGGACGAACAATCGCGTTGTACAACAACGCAACACGAACTGAACGGCAGCACTATCGAAGGCGGTCTCGAAGAGGAAATGGACACACAATTGTGTGGCAACGAAAGCAGTGATATCGAAATCGAAGACTTGCAACTGGAAAACGAAGCGTTGCACAAGCTAAACGAACAAGAATGCATTGAGGCGATTATACGCACAGAACTGCGTCGGCCCAACATCACCGGACCCACGCTACCGATGGTCAAATCCAAATCGATGTTGCACAAAACCGAAAACGAATTGAACGGACTGCTGCGTAACGCGGCAAATGTGAACGGCAACGACGCCAAGCCGCCGCGTGTAGTACGCAGCGAAAGCGTGAACGGCGCAATCGTCGGCGGCAGCGGTAACGGTAGTGGTGGCGCGAGTCGCGGCGGCTCCGTAAGCGCGCACAAGTTGCAAGAACGTCTACAACAGCGACCGGCCAACTCGTGGCGCAAAAGCAGCGGCTGGAAGCGCATACCAACAACACCGACTAGTTCGCCCACAGCGCCGTTGTCACCGAAAAAGGTGAGCAAGCCAATTTGACTGTGCTGATGATCAAAATGATATTCAGTATTTAACACTTCATTTTTCTTTTTTGCTCAACTCTTAGGAAGCGAAAACGGAAATTGTGCGCAACTGTGTGAATGGCTTGCCGAAAATACCGCCAACGCGTATACCAACCAGCGTACAGCAGCAATCACCGCCATCGCCAAAGCAAAACCAAAACACGCCAATGCAATTTGGCGACACACAAACACAACAACAACAACAGCCAATACGAAAATCAAAAATTCCTCCACCAGTTCCCGTGCGTCGTTCTTATGCGAGCTAGCCAAGTGAGGTAGAGGGTATAAAATAAAGTAATAATAATAACAAAAAAAAAACACAATAAAAATTCAATTGAATCCGTTATAGTATAACATGCCGTTACGGTTGAAGCGAAATCCACAAGTTAATTAATTTAAGCAAAATTTATATAAAAAAGACTTATATGTGATATTTGAGCGAAGTAAAAGTACGCAAAAGTAGTGTTAAAAACAAAAACAATAAAAACAAATTGTTGTATAAACACGTAGTAATAACAATGAAATAACACCAAAAGTGAAACTAACTGCCTACTCTTAAAAAAACAACAAAAAGCTATAACTAACAACAACAAATAATTACTTCATAACAAAATTTTGAACAAAAAAAATGAATGCTAAATTTAAACATTTTTTTCAACTATAATAAGGCATTTAAACTCGAAATTAATAAGGTATTTTGGTATAAAACAATCAATGCTAAATTCAAAAAAAAAAAAAAAATTGTCAACTATTATAAGGCATTTAAAGTTGAAAATCATACGCAAATCGAGAAACGTAAAAATACACTGCCTGCAAATTGTCTGTACTACTACTTTATAAAAAGCATATGTAGTATATCGTAGTTATCACCACTTTTTATATATGCATTTACATACATACATATATTTATGTATCTAAAATATTGAAATTAAGACAAGTGGTTTCCACTATTTTCACCACACTCCCTCGGTTAGTGGGGAGTGCTCACATTTGGTTGCAGAATAGCGAAAGCCAACGTAGTTGTGACACATGCTTTCAACTCACACACATACCTATCAGTTAATTCCGTTTTAATGTACACTTTTTCCTCAGTACAGGAATAAATGATGGTTTGTTGAGTGGCAGTTGACTCGTTGGTTATTTTCGAAATGAAATTACTATTTAATGGGCATTGTACATATAAATAAATATATAATTTGATAATGCATTTGGCAAAAGCTTTGCATTTATTATCAATTTGTTATTATAAAACATTTTTAAGTGCATAAATACATACATATATATATTGAGTGTTATGTGACAGAGTGTTGCCAGTATTATTGTGTACTGAAATATTTAAAAAGTAATAAAGATTTTTTTTAATAATAATTTTTTATAATAAATATTTAGCAAAATAACAAAATATAGGCATATTAAAAGTATAACAAAAATCACTTAAAGTATTTGTATGTGTATATACCATATATTCTAAAAATTCTTTTGTTAAAATTTGCAATTTTCTCGTTTAATAACTTATCATTTTTGCGGCAATTCGATTAATAATTATTATTATAGCTATTAATTATTTCATTTTTCATTTTGAAATATATAAAACAGCATACAAATAATATTTTTACATACAGAAAATTTTAAAAACTTGATACCTTTGAAAACGTCTACAACTTTAAAAAAAATTAGCTTAATACATTAAAATATAAATATTTTCAAGCAAAAAGCTAAATACAAAATTTCTAAAACTTAAAAAATAAATTTATTAGTTTTCAAGTTTTTACTTCATTAATGAAATAACATAATATTTCAACAAATAAAAAAAAATTGAAAAAATTTCTAAAAATTTAAAAAACAAATGTTATCTTTCAATTTTTAACTTCATTAATTAAATAAAAAATATTTCAACAAAAGAAAAACAAAGAAAAATGTATTTAAAAATATTTTTTTTTTATTAATAATTAAATATTTTTCTTAATTTAAGTTAATTAAAAATATATATACTCTTACTCCATCCATAACACTTTTTTTTCTAATTCTATGCTTAAAAAAAATACAATAAAAAGTTTGTATCTATTCAAAATTACGAAAAAAACACAAATATCTGATGGCAGCACTTTGGCATGTAACAGTCATTATTTATTGTATGTAGTACACTAAAATTTAACACTTAAAATCAAAACAAGAAATTTTGTAAAAAATTAATTTAACTAAGTGAAGCTAATTATAGTAATCTGACTTTTTAGGGATTCTGAAATAATTTAAAACATTGATGAGAGAAATATAAATTTTCTTTTGTACAAAATAATTACTATTTATTTGCATAATTAATTACAAAATAATATTATTGGTGATTAAGAAAAATTTAAACTGGGCACTTTGCTATAATTTTACAAAATTAAAAATTGCAAAAATTTGTAATTGTCTAAAGTAAAGAATTTTTAAACGGAATATGTATATATGTATTTGCGATTATTTATATGAGAAATGTATAACAAATAATTGTATTTGACTTTGTTGCAGATCTAATTTATTTATTATTTTTTTTGTTTTTTATTAAATCAAGCATTATTTAAACAACTTAAGAAAAAATATAATATACATTGTATATATAAGCGTATTCACAATAATTTGAACTGATATTAACGGCTTTATAAAACAATATATTTCCATTAGTTTATAGTAGTAAAGCCTTAACAATGAATTTTTTTTTGACAAATGTCAAAAATACTACTTTGTCAACAAAGGAACAGAGTGTGTAAAAGTATGTAGCTGAACGAATGACAAAAAATCGTATGTCACATCATGTAAACTATTAAAGTTAAGTAGTCTTCCGCACAAAATTAAACAAAAGAATATTAATAATATTAAAATAGATATAAAATGAAGTTTAGACACACATTAAACAAAAACCATAAAACACACTCTACACACAAACAGCAGTTATGTAGTAGTCAATAAATATAAAAAATAGTAACTTTTTATAAAACGTATAACAATTTGTAAACGATAGCAAACGAACGGACGAACTAAAATTCGGCGATGAAACCAATAAAGTAGCGTAAAAAATACATAAACTCAAGTCAAACAATAAATTAAATTTATAACAAATTAAAAACAATAACAAATAGTATTGCAATAGCAAATAAGAAAGTTAGCATAAAAATATATTGTTATAACGGTTTCTACGTAATAATTAAAAACATATATTCCATGCAAATTGTTAGCGGTAAACCTTCAACGTACTTCTGCGTATTTAAAAATAAACTAAACAACTAAAGAGAATGCGAACTTGCAGCGTGCAGTGTGAAAGTGGAGATTTTCGTAAACTCCACACACCACTGCTACCTCAACGTTGCATTTCCGGCATTTAACCATAGACAATTCGGAAAAAATCCTACTTATGATGCAATTGACAACAATATATTAGTAAACAATAACAATACAAGTGCATAAGTATTGCAAACATACATTTACTACAGCATATACACATACATGCTTACATAAGTATGTAGTGTGGAAATTAATAAATATTTACAAGTATATAACAATAATTAAGTATTTGCAGAACTAAGCAAGGCCGAATGAAACCACAAATTAACACTAACGACATACATACATACATATATACAAGTATGTAACAAACAAATTAAGTAAGCAAACAACTACTTATTTACCTACAGTACTGCATACACACACATATGTAAATATGTGTGTACATCAAGTTATTTGACGCAGTTTATTCCCTCTTTCCTCTTCTTGGTAGCGTAGTCAGTACAAAATGTTAAACACTAAACACTACTAAATTACTATACTTAATTATATTATAGACAAACTACTTACTGTCAGTCTAAAGTTTGTATGGGTTAATAAGCACTACTACATATATTATATAAATTAAATATATATATTCATATTTGTATATTTTATTGTATTAGCGACGTTAAAGATCTTAGATTTAGTATTTAAACTGTAATATAATATAATATATGTATACTATTTAGAGATCATAATATATATATATATATTTAGGTTTTTCTCTGTGTAGTTAGTTGCTAAAAGTTTACCAATTACTTACTACATACTTGTATACTATTAAATACTATTATATTTTTTCTGTTAAAACATTTTTGTTTTTATTATTTTATTATATCTATTAAATATTTATTTAAAAGAAAACTATAAACATAACATTTATGATGAATGAAAATAATATACATAAATACATACACGGAATGAAAATCGAACGAAAAAAATAAAATTAATAATATTAAATTTAATAATTGTAGTTGTTTTATTGATTGATACGCTGCGTTAAGTATAAAAGGTCCCTTAATATCGAAATTTTAATTGATTGATACACTGAGATAAGGTTAACAGGCTTTTTAATATCAAAGGTATCGGAAAACACACGCATACACATTCCGAATGCACTAAAGGAGTATTGGGCTCTAGACATTCACTCCAACTAATTTATGGCTTGTATATTTACAAAAAAAATCACTACAAGTCTTCAATATTATGTATTTAATTTGATAAGCGCACTTGGACATTACAAATTATTGCGCACGCAAGCAATAATTAAAGCAATTTATCACTCAATGTTATTATATTTTAAATAACAAATTTAACATTTTTTTTACACAACGGCTAAAATCGCAGCTTTTGCATTAATCACGTTGGACAGCACAGCAAATTTGAAACTGAACCTACTTAAGTGGTTGGCAACGCCGAAAGGAGCGGAACAGTTTGTTTACAAATAGTAAAATTTCAATGAATGTGTGTTTGCTAGTGAAAAGTGCAGTTTGTTAAGTTATCAATTTAAAAGCGTAAAATTGTGATTTTTTAAAAATAATTTCAAGTGGACAGCTTGCTTCGCAGCTTCGCAAAGCCTTTATGCAGTTTAGTGTAAAAGAAACGTATTAAATTAAATATTAAATCTGCAAAATAAGAGCAGCCGGCTTAGAAAGTTCATTTTACAAAATTATCAATTCAAAATTAATTTCAAATGGAAAAGTGTGCTCCGCAAAGTGCAAATGACGTTTAGTGTTAATAAAAAGTGTTAAATTAAATAATTTATCTGCAAAGTGAGAAAGAAGGTCAAATGTTACAGCAGCCTTAACAAATGGCAAATTTTACGTGCGCTGTAAAGATGTTATTGCCATTTTTAAATATTCCAAATGTTTAATAGCATTCATATGTAATTATAAATGCGTGTTTATATTGCTTGTTTTGATTCCATCTACTTTCTTAAGCAGCGACAACTAAAAAAAAATAAGTGTGGTGCTACTTGCCTCAAAATCGACGGATATGGTTCGCTTTCTATATCGGAAATGACAAATAGTAGTGCAACAATAATTGATCGATACATTTGTTTTCTTGCGGCAAGTTAATATTAAAAAGTATGGCTATGAATGCAGATTTAAATAACTTGTTCTTAATGGTTTGAAGCAGTTACATGGAAGAAATATACGTAGCTATTGTAATGGAGAAACCATGTGATTAAATAGTTTAATTAAGTGGAATTGAATATAAAGTTGTAATTTTTATAGTGTAATTTCGGAATGTTTAAGGGCAGTAATTAAAATCGGCATGGCGTTGGAAATTTGTTATAATATTATATAATATTATAGAATAAAAAAATGGTGTAGTCATACAAGCTTTTATTATTACAATATGCGTATTAAAATGCGGTAATAAAGTGCCTTTTATAAGTGTATAATGTATAAAAAATATGATAAGCTTCAATTTTATTTTAATTTAAAGTTAACTCACAATGTGCACGTTGATATACATATTATATTACATTGAAAAACAGACCTAACATAGATGCCAATATCAAAGGAACACAAAAAGGTATGTACTTCTTAAACACAGGATAAAACCGCTATTAAATTATTATTGTTTTAGAAGCTAACATTTTTTCTTTTATTTATTTTTATTATTTATATTATTATTTAGTATAAAAGAGTAATATCTAGTGTTTTAGTTTCGGTTTTAAAATTTGAATATGTTTTCATACATAGTATGTATGTATTCCTTGTTGTTTCTGTACGCTAAATATTATCCCTAGCCTTTATTGAATTATTGATTGCGATCACTATGTAAAACCTTATCTGCACATACTTGTACTAGGGCCCTCAAAATTATTCTAATAATCAGAAAACCGTTTATTCGAATATCCGGTTTGTAATCGATCGTACGAATACTAACCGAATAGAACTATTCGAATAGTTTATTTGCTGCGGGTATTTGAATAAATGAAAATTGTTTAAATCCAAGCAGTCTTTAATTTTTGCCTTTTGGTTTTTTTGAATGAACGCTTACTATTCGGTTAACCGAATAGTCGAAAATAAGCGGTTAATCCAATAGTCGACAACTTTCAACTACCCGGATAGTGCAACCCGAATATTATTATTCGAAAATTACCCTAGCCGGTTAATACGGTTAGTCGATTAGTTGAATACCCTATAGCTCGTAAGCTCTAGCACATTTTCCACTAAGTTTTGTGTTTACTTATAAATTTTTCTGTCGAAGAAAGATTCATCGAAATTATTTATTTAAGTACGCATATTTAATTCGTGAGCTTTTTAAAAACTTACAAATTGAAAATAAAACTAGTGCATAATATCATATTAAACTATAAGCTATAATAAATAACATTTGTTATAAAAGTACCAGCTACGCATATCTCATACGCATATATAATACATAAAATAATAAACTAGTACTACAGTAATTCTACCAAGCGTTTGCGCAATAGCAAAGCGTTCGGACGCAACATCGGCTCGTCACACCAGCAATCTTTATAAATCGTTTGATAACTTTGTTCCTTGTTGCGATCATTCAGACGCAATGTATCCTCAAACAGCACTAACAGATCCGCAACATCGCCCTTCGTGCGTTGTTGTTGCTGTCGTTGTACTATTATTGGTCTTTTAATTGTTGGCGACTTCTGGGCATTCGGGGACTTACTGTAATTCAATTCGGTACTTAAATTACGCATAACATTAATTTTCGCATTCAATGAGGCGAATGGCCGACGATCGGCCGGCTGATGCATCTCTTCCGCACTACAGTCAGAGAAGCGCAACTGTTCTTCGGGTTGTTTGGTGCGATTGAGCACATTGGTCAGATGCACTAATGAGTGATAAGTGATCTCCTCCGCTGTTAGATTGGCACAATAACATTTATGATGCCGATGCATGTTCGCATGCATGTTCGCATGCACCACACTCGTGCAATTTGTTGGATTGGTTGGAGTTGCGCTATCGGGACGCAGCTTATTTTTGACCACCTGATAGGCGACCACTTCATTGCAGGCAATGCTTTCGTAAGGTAAACGACGCTGTCGCATTTGCCACATTGTAATGCCCAGCGAATAGATGTCGGTTGCTGGTGTGAGCGTTTCCTCACGTAATGCTTCGGGTGACATGTAACGCATGGTGCCCTTTAAATGAAGATTTGTATATATATTTTTTAAGATCTTTATATAAGTTTTATAATATTTACGCGTGCATTGCCCTTCGGTGACGCCATTGGAGAATCAATCTTCAAGGAAGCACCAAAATCGCAAAGTTTACAAACATATTGGCGACGGCTGAAAGCAATTGATAGTGTTTCATCACGTAAATTTTGTTGTACACCAACGAAAGATATCAACACGTTCTGTGGTTTTATATCAAGATGTAGTAGATTCCGCTTGTGGCAAAAAGATAGGGCGGACAGAATGTCCAGTGTTATGCTTGGGAAGAGAGAGAGAGAATATTACTGCGATTAATACAAGTTTTCTGGACTAGACGTCTGTCTGTCTGCTGTCTATTTAACAAGATATTTTCCCTCATATTATTATGCAAAGCAGCACAAAAACATCGTGTAAATTATTTAGATCAGACTATTAAAGCAATACCTGTCATACCAACTCATCGATCAACATCAAAGTCCTTGTATGGAAAAAGTTTTCATTTAAAAAGGTATCCTCATAAAATTTGGTGTAATTCAATTACACCCTTAACTAAACTATCAAAATGAGTTTTGTTCTAATAAATCGGTATCGGATCGGCGTGGCGACCATTCATTGAAAAAAAATTATTCAAAACTTTTGGAGTTTAATCTCAAACTTTTCTCTTTACCTCTAAAAGTTATTTAAAAAACCATTAAGATTACATATAAATATACTCACTAAATTCTATGTTCTAATGGCAGCATTGTGGCCTCAAGTACATCTTGCAAACTGTGACCGACCAACCTTTCCATGATGACAATGCCGAAATTCGGCGTAGTTTCAACCTTAAAAATACACATGCCTTTAAAGTAATAAATTTCAAAGTTGCTGATTTTTAGTTAGAAGATTCTCACTTTTAAAATTCGTATAATATTGCGGTGCTTCCAGCTCAAAATGTGCATTTCATTACGCATCGACTGGGCATTCGCTTTGCTCACGTTTCGGACGATCTTCACTGCCACCGGTTGACCTTTGCATAAAAGAATTTTATATATACATACATATGTACATTTATATACATATATTTTTAATATTTCAATTTTTGTGCATTGCAATAAATTTCAGCTCAATTTCTTCAAGCAATTTCATTTCTTTCATTCACTCTGAACTCTCGTTTATCCATACAACAATAACTTCGAAGTAAAAAATAAACAATTTAAGCTTCGAAAGTTTTGTTTGTAAATAATTATTGATAAACAAAAATAATCGTTTTTACCTCGATAAATCGCTTTGAAGACGGTGCCAAAGGCGCCACGGCCCAGGATTTTATATTTTGTGTGTGTTGGCAGTCCGTCCTTGAGTATCTCGTTGCGATTTGGCGTATTCAGGACAATGGCGTGTTCACTATTTGGTGGAAGTTGTAGCAAAGCCCTAAATTAAGTGCAATCTTTATTATAAATATTTAAACAAATATGCTGAAAGCGAAAATAATTAATTTAATTACATCCTAAAATTATATTCTGTCGCCACTGCAAAGGATCTTTGTTTTTTTTTCCTTCTTATTTTATGATTGCTTATTCGCCGTGTTAACGGAATATTGTTTGTTACTGTTTGGTTGTTTGTGCGCTATGTAAATTTGTTTATATTTTTATTCATTTGACAATAGTCATAGAAAAACTTTGTTTACTTGTCAATGTCTCGATTCCGTTGTAAACAAGTTAAAGTGTCCCCAGTGCATTTAGTGGAACAAATACATATAGCATATAGACATTAATGTAATTAAATATTATTAAAAATATATGACAAATGCATAAAATTAAAATATAAAATAAATAAAAATCGTAGCGAACAATCATAATATTTAATTCTACTTAAAAATATTAGTTTACAATTAAATATATTGTGTTGCCACTATATTCACATTTTTGCGAATAGTGTGCCAGCGAAGACGCTTAACACCTGTAATTGATTTGAACCTTTCAGTCCCCTAATTTGTATGTGTATACACGCTCCTTATAGTTATAAAGACGCTTAATACCTGTATTACGATAATTATTAAATTATAAATTTTTTTTTATGAAAAATTAGGTTATGTTTATTTTAAAAAGTTCATTACCAAATACAGTTTTTAAAACGGAAATTAATCATTTACGCGTTTTAGTGTACATATGATATACTTACATATATAGTGCTACAAATTGGTGTCTAATATATTCCTTCACGCAATTTAAGCTACATCCCCATACAATCATAAATAAAGGATTTTCCAATAAGAGTGATATTATTTAAAAAAAAAACACACTAATTGTAAAGGATATTCAAATGTTTTATATATAATGTGAAGTACAATCGACACAATTAAGTTCAGAATTCATCATTTAAATTGCCTCCACAACTTCTTTTATAGGAACGAGTTCGATGAACCCAATTTTCGAGTACTTTTTTCACTAAATCAAGTCGTGTGTCATAAATAGTACGTTCAATATTGACTTCTAAAGCTGAAAAGAGTCTGATTTATTGCTAATTACCAATGACTTCAAATAACCCCACAAGAAATAGTCTAATGCTGTTAAATTACAACTTCTTGGAGGCCATTCTATGTCACAATTTCTTGAAATTATCAAATCTCCAAACTTTTCTCGCAATAATTCGGTTGTTGCACATGCTGTGTGGCACGTAGCCCCGTGGTATTGGAACCAGATGTTGTCAAGATCAACTTCTTCCAATTACGGCATTTAAAAGTTGGCTATCATCAATCTATACCACTCTCCATTGACAGTAACGGTGTCACCAGCTTCATTTCGAAAGAAGTACGGACCGCTGATTCCACCAGACCAAAAACCACACTAAACTGTCAATTTAGGTGAATGTAATGGTTGTTCATGAATAAATTGTTGATTTTCTTCACACCAGAATCGACAGTTTTGTTAGTGGTGCGGTAAATTCAGATGAAAGTGAGCCTCATCGGAGAAGATGATTTTCTTAAATTAGTTGCAATTGGAAAACGATTATTTTGATAATAAAATTGATTAATTTCTAAACGTTGTTTTTGCGTATATATCTCCACGATGAAATTGTAAACATTACGAATTGCAATTTAAAAAAAATTACAGATCATGACATATTTAAAATGGCCGAAAAGAAATTTAGAAATCTTATCATCCCTATTGGTAAACCCGATATATATTCAATATTTTAAGTTGTCGTTTATTTGCATTCACACATTTTGGTGCTTGACTACCGAACCAGTTCAGGAAATGCGCAAGTCGTTAACGATACCCAACGAAATTTCCAAAAGGGCTGGCAGACGGTTCAGGGTTAGATGGAATGCCTTATTGACATGCAAGATCGCCAATATCATATGCAAGGAAGCGGAAGTAAAATACGCAAGCTTTCTACTTACACAGTCTCGAAAAGACTACAGCACGGTTTTTGGCCTAGTCTCAGGTCACAACTTGCACTTCGCAGTTCAAGGGATTGGTTGAAGTATTAGAATTAGATATCAAGTCTCTATAAAATTTCGCAAAAAGCGTTGACGTGCTGCACGACGTAAACTTCCACTCGTATTAATAATGAACCTCCATAGGTCTATGTATGGCATAACAGCCAGCCAGTGTAACCTAACCTAACCTAACTGTGATTTTTGGAACAATCGATTAGGGAATACGGCAAGCAATAGATTTGATGTTAAATCAGGTGGTTTTTTAGAGATAAATTTTAGTAAAGGCAATTGGAAACGTTCATAAATAAGTACAAACAAAGTATACATATTTTCTTCTAAATACTTAACGTATGCGTACTTCAAAATTCACAAAACACTATAGGCAACAAGTATTATAAATTGACATTTCTGTATACTATAACAACAGATGGTAATAATACACAATAAAACAAAATGGCGACTTGCTACTAAGTTAACCATGACCCCAGCCGGTTTTCATGTATAAAGCAGACAAAAACGCTTTACTTCGGTACTATCGAAGCTATAATACTCTTCAAAAATACAAAAGATACCTTGTCAAATAAAACAGTTTTCCTTACAAGGACCTGTAGTTGACCGATATTGGCGTTTCCGACCAATGACCTACTTCTTGGTGAGAAAAACACGTGTGCAATATTTCAGGTCGATATACCAAAAAATGACGGACTAGTTCGCGTATATAGGTACAGGCAGACAGACGCACATGGCTAAATCGACTTAGTTCGTCGCGCTGGCATTATGTGGTCTCCGACCTTTCCTTTTGGATGTTACAAACATGGTGGCAAACTTAATATATCCTGTTCAGGGTATAAAAATATTACTGTATAGGCTGATGGCGAAGCCTATTTAAATTGTTCTTCTTGCAATTAACAATGACCTCGTAAACAAAACCTTTCTTAATACCAATTAAACACATCAATTATTAAAAAATGTCCATGGAAATAAATTCATATTTTTCTTTCAAAATCGAATACGTCGCATGACACATAAACTTGTTTAATTTACCAAGCGGTTGCTTCCTGTATTTGCACAAAAGTTGTTTGAAATAAAATATATAGCTTGTAGATGTTGGAATAAATTCATTATTGTGAATATCCATCTCTCTTAAGTTGTTCAAATATTTTATACTACACTTAAAAATTTTTATTTCCAATTCGGAACTCTATCTATGCAACGTTTTCTAAACATTTCGTTATATTATATCGTAAACCATTACGTTTTTATGGCTTTTGAATTAATTTTTAATACGAAATACTAAAGTTCTCTTCGGGACTTGATATTAAAAGAAACAAGACCAATTTTTTCCGTAATAAATTCAATATAATGGCTTACCAAAATGTTTTCTTTTTTTGCTTTTGTCCTGCTTACTATTTAAAGCCCAAAAACCCAACATTCGATGTTTAACGTGTGGTTTTAATAGTTTATGAGATATTCGCATATTTATATTACTATAAAAATTCACAGTGGCTTTGGTTTTCGTTACTTTTATTTTCATTTGCATTTTAAATGTCTTTAGTTTCGCTCGTTATGCAGCACAACAAAAAGCATTTCTTAAAGGCTCTTTTCACAAGATCGTACACTTTAGTTCTCTTATACATACGATAATCTTAACGCTCGTATACAATACTATATTCATTTATATATATTATATATGAGTATTCATATATATAAATATATTTCGTTTCAATATGTATCTTAGCGTATTAACCAAATTGTTTATTTGAAAATATCGGGCACTATATAAAATTCATATACATATGTACATATGTATGTATTCGCATTTTTGTTTGTTATAGTTAATTTTTTCTACATTTAAGCAATTAAAATTTTAACATAAAAATTACATGAGTGACAATAATCATTCTACAGACATTATTACATAAATACACTTATTTTAATAAACATAAAGGTGAGTTTTACTCAATACGTTAAGGTTTACATATTTGTCTTGGATTTAACTGCAAAGTAATTAGCTGCTTAATTTTTACTATTTTGAATTAGATAAAAATAGAATTTTGTTCAGACCAACTAAGTAATGTTTTATAAAAATTTTGGGTTACATAAATGTATGCATAGCTTTTTGAAACAGTTTTATATTGCACTTTGTTTTTGAAATTAAAAATTATAATTCTCTAAAATGTGTATAACTTATTTTTAATTTGTTTCTGTTGCTTATTAATCGTTCATTTATAAATATATATTTTTTATGAATTCTTATACTCAATTGCTACGAGTAATGTGTGAACAAAATAATTATAAACGAATTTACTTAATTACTATAGCCGTTTTTTATGCAGTTCTTCGGTCTCTTTGCGTAAATGCTGCAATCAAAATATACATTAGTTATATTTTTAATAAAAATGAATTTTGATCACTTGCAAACACTCACATAAAACACATCTTGTATTTTGTCCGTTATCAACTTTCGCGCCTCTGGCTCTGGCACTTTACGATCTTTCAGATCCTGTATAAAATCTTGCAAGTCTATAGGTTGACCGATATTCAGCGTCACCTTTTTACCCCACTTCAGTACGTATGGCTCAGTGTTGGGCAGCACTTCATCCATGCCCTCATGCCACATGGGTAGAATAATCGGAATGCGTGGCGATTCGTATATGATACGACCCACACCCCACTTGAGGCGCATCTCCTCCTTGGTCATGTTAACTTTGCCCTCGGGAAAGACATGCACCCAATGGCCGAGCGCACATTTTTGTATACACAAATTGACAGCGTCCTGATAGACACCGCTGCCGCGCACCACTGGTATACACTTTCCTATATTGGGAAACAAATGTAAAATAATTTATTAACTTATATACTTTTAAAATTAATTACGTGTACGTAATATAAATTTATACATATCTACACCTACCATACATGAAGAAAGTTGAGTGATATTTATTGGTGAAGCAGATGTCGTGCGCCGCCATCGACCAACGTATCTTAAATGTATTGCATACGAATTTAACGGGAAGCACACCTGTAAAATATTTGTTTTAATTCAGTTAAATTGCATGCACTTAATTATACATATTAATCATAATACTGTACCCCAAAGGCCGGGATCATCGAAGCATGATTGATGATTTGACACTGTGACTAACGGTACACCGGCTGGACGTTTTTCTATCAAATTTATCAGTCTCTCTCTGTTGTACACTACGGTTCGGTTGAGGAAAACTGTAATCAGTAGTAAGACAATTAAATATATTAGTACTTTTGAGGAAATTTTATATTTGTAATTTTTGTAAATAACCATTTTAAAAGTATAAATAATAGTGAAAATAAGTTTATTTTTGGATTCTTGGTATCATAAGCTCGCTAAAACTGCATTCAGATTTTTCACTTCCTAAATTTACCTAAAAAATTAAGGTCAGAATGCAAATAACTTCGTTTGGATTTTCTTTCTGGCAACTTATTAAACCGGTAAATAGTTGGGGAAGGTTCAAGCTATTCGGCTTACTCTGATCTATTACATATGAAACTACGATAAAATCACATCTATTGTAGAAAACTTCTTAATTTATTATAGACTTGTAACTAGCCATGCTCCAGCTTCTTAACAATCCCAATTGTTGGAGTTTTATTCTAATAATAGTAATAAATACCGCATTAGAATAATTAACACATAGCATAAGAGTATTCAAAGTTATCAGCACAGACAACTTAAAGTTGAAATCAATCATAGCTTCTTTTTTTTTACTCTGAAAAGTACCATCGTTTAAAAAGTTATTTATGTTTATCCACTTGTGAATTAAAAAAAAATCGATATTTTTTTTGTTTATGTATCGGAAGTCTATATTGTATATTGAAAAATACGAGTATTTAATGAAAATTTTAAGTTGATCTGGTATATAGTTTCGGAGTTATCAGCGTATTTGTAAGAACTTTTAACTCAGCATAATCGGCTTCCAAAACTTGAAACGCTTTTTTTCGAAACGCTGTTTTCAGAGCCGGTGAAAAAAATTTTTCCAAACGGCTGGACCGAATGACTTGAAATTTTCACACGACTCTCTTAGATATACTTGTCAGGTAATGTTTGATGGAATACGATTTTTTATAATAATTTCGATTTTTAAGCTGCTCTGAAGTTAAATGGGAGTTTAATATAACACTATTTCCCAAATTTCTCAAAGACTAATCAATTTTGGTGATTTCTTTCGTTAACGATTTCTCGAAAGCAAATCAACCGATTTTGACTCGGTTTGCGTCAAACGGCGTGTTTTTTTGTGTCGAGAGCTAATTAGTTTTCGGTATCGATCGGCCCAGCCGTTTTCAAGATAAATCAAAAAACTACATTCAAAAAGAATTTTTGGTTAAATACCAATAACGATGTGTTTCTTCAAGTTTTAGAACTGATTCGTTTTTGGTATCGATCGGTCAAGTCGTTCGGAAAAAATTCGAAAAAAACGATTTTTCAAAATTTTTCGTTTTCGATATCTCGCAAGTAAATCAACCGATTTCGACCTGGTTTGCGGCAAACGATGTGTTTGTTCAAGGTTTAGAACTGATTAATTTTTGGTATCGATCGGTCAAGTCGTTCGGAAGAAATTTTTGAGATTTCTCGAAATCTATTGGTCCGATTGGGTCCAAACTTACACGAAATTCAAGTGCAATGAAACCCTTTGGAATGCCGTTTAGTTTATTCAAATCGGTTGAGCCGTTTAAAAGTTATAAGAGGTTTACATACATCCACACATACATACAGACATACGGACATCATCATAGAAATGTTCGGGGAAGCTTCCTCGACCCTCAGAACGTCGAGATCTGTTGAGAACTCGATTTTTGCAAAACGGGGTGAAACCAATAACTTCCCGATTTTTAGAAAATTTTCAATTTTCTTAGCGGGAAATTAAAAAAAACGGGGAATCTTGATTCCGAAACTGTTAAAGAAATAACAGTACTAAGACTAAGGTCTGAATAGTTTTCATTCGTTTCTAACGCTGAATCGTGATCAAGAAAGCTTATCCATTGAATTTCAGTAAAATACCAAACATGAATATAAATTTGAATGCTAGGAAGTCAACGGAAAAGTCGTAAGAAGAGTGTGGTATATCATGAGCTTCTAAACCTTGATGAAAATATTAATACTAATCGTTGCAGACAACAAATTATCAATTTGAACCATGCATTGATCGAACAACGACCAGAATGGGCCAGAAGACACGGCAAAGTAATTTTGTTACACGAAAAAGCAACTGCACACAAATCAAAATCGGCTTAGCATAAAATCAAAGTACTTGGCTGGGAGCTGCTACCTCACCCGCCGTATTCACCAGACTTGGCACCTTTCGATTACCATTTGTTTTCATCGATAGAACACGCTTTGGATGAGCAGCACTTCGATTCGTAAGCAAAAGTCGAAAATTAGGTGTCTGATTGATTTGCTTCAAAAGACGAGCATTACTATTGGCAATACTTTGAATACATTTTTTTTAATTTCCCATTTAAAATTAGTATTTAATTTTTACAAAAAGACTTATTGCATACCGGTCTACCTGGTAAATCTATATCTATCGCTATTAGTTTTAGGAGTTCCCTATTTCTACTTATAATGTCACAATAAATATACATAAGGATGTCAATAAAGGAAATTATAGAAGAGCACTTATGCTCAATACGACCACATCTTGAGTTTAAATAAATCTCCAACTTTCGGAAAAAATCGGGTTGGCCTAATAACCAACCAAGTGCTGTACAGTGTAATGACTCTCTTTCTCTCTCCATCTCTTGACATAAATTCTAAGCAAACACAATAGAAAAAAGAACGCCCTCTAAAAACATAGATCTGAGTTAGAGACCTGTTGTAGCTTTAGTAAATGCATTTATAAGCAAATAAAATAGCTGACCGGCGCAATTCAATTTACAATCTGTGATTTACTTGAATTTACATGAACTGATAATTAAATTTTCAACGAATGCATTGAGCAAAGTACTAAACCGATTTACATGGATTTGCTTAAATCAAAGTGCAAATACAATCTACCAATTAAGAATCGAAGGGCGCGTGACACGCTTTGCATATTGGGGAAACCTTACATATGTACAAACACACCTAGCAAGGTTCACACAGAGGTCGCTTTCTCTACTTTAGTAATTTATAGTCGGTATCTGAATTATCTAAGAAGATCGCGATAGGTTACGATAGGTCATAAGCAGTGTTTGCTAAGCAAAATTTTACTGTTTACACGTATTAGTTTTAAGTCCCCGGCGAGTCTAGACTTATTTTATAATGTTTTTTTTTCAATTTAAATGATTCCTTTAATTTTACTAAATCCACTTATTTTAGTTTTATTTGCTTTTAGTTTCACGATGAGGTTAAGATTCGAATCCATTACCTCTTTTGTGGTTGTCAGGCACTTAACATTTAAAACAAAAATAAAGTTGTTGTAATTAAGCGCTATGAACGTTGCCATCTAACGGAATTTCCAGTAATCGAACAGTTTCGAAAGAATTTAGCAGGAGGCCAGATAAGTTCGAGAAACAATGAAAAAAAGTTGTTAGGTATGTCGGTACCAAAACTCTAACAACATCCATCGGGGTGCAACTCGAGCTCCATATCCAAATAGTTATGATGCTCCAATATTTCGTCGATAGTGGTACTAGCAGCGAGGTCTTCTAATTAAGCATTTTTTCATCTCGACCTTGTTTAAGGACAACTTTTTTTAGAGAGCCACTTTTTGAGTTTAGGAAGAAGAATATGGTCGCTGGAGGCCAAACCTGGCAAATACTATATTTTTTCTGTTAATACGTAACTATATGAAATAAGGTTTAGTAAAATTAATCCGTTATTTTGCCAATAGTTGGCTTTAGTATCTCGCGTCGTCTAAATGCGACCTGGTGACGCTATATGCCGTATAAAAGATAAGACTATTAAGTTTAGATATGCACCGTTTTGTTCATTAATTTTTGTTATTTTGATGGTAATTTCATAACCCCGTTCGCATAAAAACACTCGTCCCTATTGACAAAAAAACTAAGCAGTCGATTTTCACAAGCTTCTTCAAAGGAACTGGTCGTAATCACTTGGTTCGAAGACCGGATTACAAGATGGATGCACAAGTTCCGTTCCCACGACAGTCGGGTCTACGTAACCGGAACGGACCCGGATTTATTCCGGCCAAGGACTGTCAACTGGGCAGAATTCTGTCGCTACAACAACAACAACATGGATGCACAAGAACCTCCCAACCAACTTCTCGAAGCTTCTGGCATGCCACTATCAATGTGTCTGGCCTGGCGTTTTCTATTGAAACACAATTCCTCCCCTATTTACCAAAGCTTGCTACTTCTGGGCGATTGCTTCCTTCAGACGGTCCAATACTTGACAGCACAAGTCCGAATTAAGGCTATGGTCTAAGAGCCGCAGCTCATAGTATATGAGTCCCTGCCAATCCCAAAAATAGCATAACATTCCTGACCATCAATTCTGGTTTGGCCACCGTTTGCGCCGGCTCCCCACGATTCGAACACGACTTGACGTTGCCGTAAGTGGCCTACTTTTCGTCACCAGTAACCAACCGCTTCAGAAATGGATCGATTTGGTTGCGATTGAGCAGCAAAACTGTTTGAGATGTTTTTTTTAGTGCAAAATCCCATCTTTCTAATGCCATATATCGTAACCCGTAATACAACGCGAGATACGAATCACTAAAGTCAGCTATTTGGAAAATAATGGATTTCTTTTTATTGAAAAAAAAGAATTGAAAAATCGTTATCACTAAATTAAAATAAATAAATAATGACTGCACATTGTTGATGAAATAAACAAAGGCGAAAATTGCGCGCAAATGTGAGCCAGGGGCAGACGCTTTGAAAATATGCAAAAATAATACGATTAACATTGACCACGTTACCAAAGTAGTATACGTATTAATATAAATAAATTAATATATGTGACCATATGTTTTGCAAATTTTGTTTGCTCGGCTGCATTAGCGATTTTTTATGCTGATAATGCCGATATTGGCTCAAGTTCGAGCTGCAGCGTCCATATTAATGGCACAGCGTCTTCACAAAAGCATAAGAAATAATCTATAACAATAATAAATATAAGAAAAAGAAGCAACAAGTTCAAGAGCCCCATAAATAAATATGTACATATACATACATATGTATATTCCATCTGCACCACGATTTTTGTTGGGTTAGGTTATACGATGACGCAACACATAATGTCAACGAATACTTTAACAAAGGCTGAAATTTCGCCAAACAACAATTATTAACGTAAACAAAAATAAAAATAACAAGAAAGATAAGTTAAATTTGGTTACACCGAAGCTATAATACCCTTCACAGGTGTATTTCATATAACATTAGATGGTATAAAAAGATCTTGATCTATACCTTGCTCTCTTTATCGGTCAGTTCATATGGAGGCTATTGCTATTGTAATCCGACCTGTACAATTTCTACTGTAGATTGTACCGCTGCCTTGGCTAATGAGTCATGCCAAATTTCGTGTAGATATCTCGTCGAATAATTTATTCCATACAAAGACTGGCCTTAGATCGATCATTTTGTATGACAGCTATACACAATAGTGGTCCGATGTGAACATTTTTTTTTCGGAAATAGTACCGTTGTCTTGGATAACGATCCATAGCCAATTTCGTGTAGATATCTCGTCAAATAAAAATATTTTTCATAAAATAACTTAATTTAGATCGGTCCTTAGAGAGAGAACAACGTGAGGGACTAGTTCGCGTATATACAGACAGACGGACGGACGAACAGATGGACCGACGGACATAGATCAACTAAGTCAACTCAGCTCATCATGCTTTATATAATATTTTATATAATATTTTATATTTTATAGTAAGATATAGATATAGCTGACGTTTTCTTCTGGTTGTTGCAAACTGCGTGCCGTTATACCCTGTTCAGGGTATATAATAAATATGAGAATTTATAAAAACAAGCGTAAAAAAGCTAAACTAAAACATGTCTGAACAACCTCAAAAGCATCTCGTCACCACAAGCCGGTAAACAACAACAACAACAAAAGTTGCAATGAATGACACAAACAAATTGAGAGCGACGGCGTGCAGTTGCACCGATTAGCAGACACGGTGATGCCCCCTTACATAAAACACATACATATGTACATATACAAACTCGCCAGTCAGTTCGAATCAGCTTTGTTTGCTATGTGTGCATCAATAATTACTACAACAATAGCAAATATAGCAGGAAATAGATAGGCGAACTAGTGCATAAAAATAGCACACTAAATTTTTTCTAATTGATGAGAGATCTTTTTTGTTATAAATCTAAATTGGAAGTATTAAAGGTTAAAATATACGAGTATATATATGTAAATATATGTACATATGTATAAACACGTGACAACAAAATATAATGTTCACTTGTTTCAATAAATATTTGCAAAAAAAATAGCTCCCAGTAGATAGAGAAAAATATTTATATCTTTGTATATGCTTTCAAGTCGCTTGTTTATCTAAAGAAAGGCATAACTAAAAAATTAAAAAAAAAATAAAACAATTTTTGGGTATACATACATATTATATTAAAATTTATGAAAACATGAAAATTATTATAACGGTACATTGAAAATCATTGTTCCGATTATTTACTATATATGTTAAAAAATGTTAGTAGTTATAATTTTAACATTTTTCCAATTTTTACACTTCTCGAGTTATATCATTCTTCTGGTAAAAAACCGACGCTGACATCTAATGTGTTGAGCATTTTCAATGTAGCCATTTTAGCAGGTGCTTGCATAAAATAGCTCATTTCCATATAGTTTTTTCCATTTCTATACAAAGTTCAGTAAATGTAATTAAATCCGGCCAACTTAACGTTAGCTATTCATAAGAATAATTTGATGATACTAGTTTTCTTCGATTTTCTCAAGCTTTGTTTTAATTTTTCGATGATTTTTTTTTTCAATTTACACTAATTGAAGGTTGAACTTCTGTTTATAAACGATTTTATGTAATTGGTTCATAAGGTAAAAATTAGCGAATATTAATATATAGCCTTTTTAACAAAAAAAACAAAAAAAAACTAAAAAACGGATACTTAGGCTGGACCGAAGTTTAAATACCGATCACAGGTTCAAGTTTGTTTGGTAGCTATATGCTATAGTGGTCTGATATCGGCGGTTCCAACATATGAGCTGCTTCTTGAGGATAAAAAGACATGCTCAAAATTTCAGAACGAATTCTCGAAAACCGAGTTGGCGTATAAAAACAGGGACAGATAGCCTATATGACTAAATCATGTAGAGGCTTGAGGGCAAGATATTTGTCTTCTTCGATACCCTATAATAATATAAGCTATGATAGCTTAGTAACAACTAATACGAATGTAAATAAAATAAAAAGTGAGGTGAAAAAAGTAAATCACCGATACAAAAGTATTACCTATGGTGCCTTGATCCTAACTCCAGAGACAATTATAATACAATTTTATAGAAAACTGATGACACGTGTCGCATTCGCGAGACTTTAATCAGTGTGAAAGAAACCTATATCTTGATTTCTTATTTCATTTGCAGGACTTCTAGGGACGTTGTCAAGCCTCGAAATATATTTTTGTCGTGAAAAAAGAGTTTAACCTCAAAGCATCACAAACAAATTTTGATAAAATAAA